ATAAATACAATATATATATATATATTTTTGTTTATTTATTTAGTAACAATTTATATTGTGTTTAAAATTATAAAATTTTTGGTAAGACCTTCATCAATACTGTAGAAAGAGAAAAGAACAAGCAACAGAAAAGAACGTAATCTGCCCATAAAAAACTTCCAATTGGGAAGAAAGGTTTAAAATTCAAAAGTCATTCATTCATGTCGGACATTTTAGCCGCTTATGAACGTCAAATTTTTTACATTATAATTTTAATTTTTTTCCTACCGTCCAGTTCGGTATATAGATCCAATTGAGAAGAACTAGCAAAAAACTCAATTAAATTACTTTTTTATTCAAATGTAGTTTATTTACAATATATATTTATATAGGTGTCTATGTTTGATATAGAGCCAACTGCTAATGTACCAATCAAAGTCAACATATCAAGGGACCTTCGTGTCCCCCCTGAAACCACCATGACTAGTGCGACCTAGTTGAAACGTCGAGACAGGTAACCTTTATTTGCCATAAAATTATTCGTATTAATACCAGGTTAACTATATTCTAATGTGTATTAAACGTGAGGATTTAAAAACAAGCACGTGATTAATTCCTGAATTCACCATGATGGACTAACTAACCTGACAGCTCTTCCTATCATTTTTCACTGGTTTCTATCGCCAGTGTATTCCGTTAGCACAGGCTGCTGTACCATTTCATATCAGCCATCGAAAAATACATAAAGGATTTTTTAAGTCGATTCAATAGTTCCTGTAATTGGGGCGTTCAACCAAACAAACTCTTTGGATTTTTCAAATTCAAAAATCTTTTATTCATGTAGGACATTTTAGCCGCTTATGAACGTCAAGTTTTTACATTATAATTTTTTTCCCTACCGTCCGTTTTTGAAATGATATCGATAATGAAAATGTATTATTATCTACGAGTATATCTAAAGGGGTCTATATTATCGATTTACTGATAGTGACGTGCCGCATGTATAGAATGCCGTACGTTACCATTAATATCGATTCTGCTGAATCGATACATCGTACCAGCTGATATACCACGCAGTAAGTACTTTGACTTTTTAAATCGATATATTTTTTATAGCATAGGGGACAGATGAGCTTGCGGTTCACCTGATGGTAAGTGATAACCACCACCAATGAACACCCAATTACAACAATTACAGCAACACCAGCGCAATTACAAGTGCGTTACCGACCTTCTAAGAAAGAATTAACTCTTTTCTTGAAGATTTCACTATCGTATCGGTTCGGAAATACCATTGCTGGAAGGTGATTCCACAATGTGGTTGTGCGTGGCAAAAAGTTTCTGTAAAAATGCACTGTAGACGACCGCCATTTATCCAGATGGTCAGGATGGTATTTCAATTTCTAGCGGGTATTGCGATGGTGAAATTCGGCAACTAGTATTAATCTGAGTTGTGAGTAGCTATGACGTGGTCTGGTGTTTTGAGTAGTCATGCTCACTAAAATGTCCAGACTTGTGGCGGCGTGGTGGGCCGGGTCATTGGGCTCCCTAAAATATGGTCGAGCGCAGTGATGGCTGGCTCATCCGTCATACTCGTGAACGGGTGCTGCTTGTGCGGTGCGGTGTGCGGGACTGGTCTGCTCTAATCACTATGACTGATTTCCTCTTATTAATTGTTTAACCAGTTGGTTATGTATTCAATATTTTTTTCTTTTTGAGTATTTAATTGAATTAGTGCTAATCGGTGGTTTGTATTCACACACTTAAACTTAAATTGTAAGTAAGAATAAATTATTTAAAAGAGCAACACACAAGTCTTGCTTGTTCTTCTTGTAATGAGACAGCATTCCGAATGAGCGGTAGATTAAAAAAAAAAAATGTTATGACTATTCAAAAGTGCTTCAATGTAAGTTTATTTGAATAAATGATTTTCTATTCTATTCTATTCTATTCTGAACAATCGATAAATTAATCTCAATTGAAAAAGACTAACTTAAGATATTCTTTCACAATATATGAATTTCACTAGAACTTTCTTTAATTAAAATCCATTTAGTTGGGTAATCGTTTAAGGTTATATATAGATTTATAATACTACCTACTAGCCGAGATTTCAACTGCTTTTTCTTAAATAAAAGATAACCTATATTCTCCCTCGTGATGTAATTTATCTTCATTCAAAAGATATAATATCCGTTCAGATATTAGGGAAAGTAAAACAGAAAGACAAATACACTTTTGTATTTATATTAAGATGTTTTTTTTTATAATTGAATGGCAACAAGATGACGCTCAAGTGTATCCTGATGAAAGCGATACCCGTGGCCTATACATATGATCAGCACTACAGACATCACGCTATCATATATATATGTGACGTCATACCATTCATGCGTTGCCATTGCAGAGGTAGTCCTCTCATCATGCCTCTTAACCTTTAATTTCACTATCTAAACTGCCCTCTACAACTGAAATATAGCTTAGAAAGCAAGCTGCTTGGCGGCTGGAATAGAGACTCCTTGCAGTCTACGTCCATTTAACTTTATTAATATCTGCACCCAACAATGTTACTTTATTTTATTGTCAAATTAATCGCGTGAAGTGAAGCACAAAGACCACAATTGCCTAAAACTCTGAATTCGACATTATGTAGTGTATCTTTATTTAAATTAACCACACCAAGTGCGCACAATAACCACAGATTGCTTAACTCTATTGAAATAAAAGACACGCGAAGTCGTGCGCACAATCAGTTCAATTTTGATATAACCACAGATTGCCTAGAAGTCTGAATTCGATATTATGTAGTGCATATCTATTGAAATTAACCACACGAAGTCGCACAATAACCACAGATTGCTTAACTCTATTGAAATAAAAAACACGCGAAGTCGTGCGCACAATCAGTTCAATTTTTATATAACCACAGATTGCCTAGAAGTCTGAATTCGATATTATGTAGTGCATATCTATTGAAATTAACCACACGAAGTCGCACAATAACTACAGACTTCTTAACTCTATTGAAATAAAAAGCACGCGAAGTCGTGCGCACAATCAGTTTAATTTTGATATAAACACTAATCAGTGTTAACCGTAACAGTGCTTTTTATTGTGAAGACTTCACGTGATTAATTTCAATAGAAATACACTACATAATATCGAATTCAGACTTTTAGGCAATCGCCTAAAAGTTTGAATTTGAAAGTCGACAAATAAGTCGCACAATAACCACTCTATTGAAATAAAAAGTACTCGAAGTCGTGAGCACAATCAGTTCCATTTTGATATAACCATAGATTGCCTAGAAGTCTGAATTCATTTCTATTGAAATTAACCACGTGAGGTCGCGCGCACAATGACCACAGATTGCCTAACTCTATTGAAATAAAAACCACAAGAAGTCGCGCGCAGAAAAACCACAGATTGCCTAGAAGTCTGAATTCTGATATTGTGTAGTGCACGAGTACGATAACACGACGATATCGAACGGGGGCTGGTGTAGTGACGCGCTGCATCGACCGAGTGACGGGCCACCGCATCGATTCCCCACAATCGATGCACCCAGCTGACGTTCAAACTGTTTGTAAACGAAAGGATATGCGGAGTTTCCTTTCCTATTATACTATGCGATGGCGTATTTTTTTTATTTTACGGTTGAATAACATTGTAGTTTGTTTGAAAATATGGTTACACGGCGTTGTGTGAAAGATGATATGTATAAAAGGAGAGTAAGCTCAAATATGACGGCCGATAGAGATCAGTGGATGATAATAAACTGACCCTCTTATATCTAATTAATATTATAAACGCGAAATTTTGTGAGTATGGATGGATGTTTGTTACTCTTTCACGCAAAAACTACTAAACGGATTTTGATCAAACTTTACAGTTATCTAGCTTATAAATCAGAACATAATCCACGGATACAGCTAATATATAATTATGAGACAAAGGCAAGGCAAATATTTGTAAAGCATTGTAAAGACGGATTTTGTGAAAGATGATATGTATAAAAGGAGAGTAAGCTCAGATATGATGGCCGATAGGGATCAGTGGAAGAAGGTGACTTACTGACCACTAATAATGGGACAAAGGCAAGGCAATGATGAGTATGATAGCTTTGTAATTTAGGATAAAATCAAATAGAAAGATACAAAAATTATGGAAGATATGTGATGTGGTTAGATAATAGAAAAATGTTTAATTTAAGATTTTGTTATAATATAACAGTACTTATTATTTATGATGAATAATATAGTGTTATTTTCGAATAATATTGTTTTATTGTAAATGTATAAAAAAATATGAAACAAACATCATTATTTCTATTTTTTAAAATAACATCTATTTTAAAAAATAGAAATAATCATTTCGTTATAAGTAATTGATTTCTTTATTAATTCAGATAAAATGAATAAATATTCTATTTTGACAAATTATATTTGTTTCATTTTATTTAACCTATATATATATATGTAGTATTAAGTACTATATATTATAATATTACTTTATTATTATTATTATATTACCATTGACACAAATTTTAAAGACAAAGCATTTCGGCATTATTCTAACGAAAGCCTCTTTAGTAAATGTTACTGTATGTATATATAGTCTCTACATTGGCAAGCTATTGTCTTAATTAAAAATAAGAAATGAGAAAACTTTTCATAAATTTAATACATTGAAGCAGAATAATAATAGTATATTTTTGTGTTTATAACTCTTAAATATTACTATCAATTAATTACCAAAATAAAGTTATTTAAATTGTTATAAACCACAGTACAATTAATATAATTATACACTAGTAACGAAACAAAACTTTCATAAATATTCACAAAACAAATGAAGTATGACTCGATAAACTTCTGTCATTACATTCAGTTTCCGTGACTAGCAATCATGAAAATTCTATATCGTTACATCAATTTCCGTTAGTTATAGTCATGAAAAAATGTTTTGACAAAGAGAAGCTACCGAACAATGCGTTGGAGAAAGCGTCATGCAATTCTTACCAGCTAGTCTGAGCGCAGACATCCTCTGAAATTCAGGTTCCTGCAGCCATTTCCACATCCTCCTAAACGTTTCCCTCCCAGACTTGAGCTTTGACCATGGTTTAGGATTCCTTAATAAGTCGCTAAGCGTCCCTTGTGACCTGCACAGTACCCTTTGCGCAAATATTGCTTGAGGAATTGAATACCTCTTTAATTCCCCACTTATCCTTTGAGCCAGCTCCTTCGTGTTTATCTCTTCTGTGTCGTTCTGTGACTGTTGTTGTTGTTGTTGTTGCTGCTGCTGTTGTTGTTGTTGCTCTTCCCTCGCGAGCAGAGCAGCATTGAGGTCCAATCCGGGACTAGGTAAAGGCGGGGTAGGCGATCGCCTCTCGAAAGAATTTGGCGAGGCACTCCGTCTACTATACGCAGACTGTGGGGATAAAGGTTCATTATAAGGAGCTGGAGATAATGATGCATATGACTGTTGCTGTTGTATAACAGTGAAAGTGCCACCGGCATGGTAAGCGAATTTGTCCGAAACGGTGCTTATTGGGGGCAAAGGGAGCAATGGCGTTAGGGTCGCGTACGACGCTGGCTCGAGCCCCGGCGGAGTTAGGCGCCCGTTGACAGCTGACAGGGGGTGAAACGCCGCATCCCCGTCTGGGAGGAGGTCGCCAGGGGACAATCTGGGGGGTGAAGCGTTGCTCGGGGCAACGATGACTGTGAGTGGTGCGCGATCTCGCGCTCTAGGCTCGTCCATGGCGCGCGGCCGGCGGCAGCGGGGTCGCGCGGGCGACTGAAGCACGCCTGCGCGACGCACCCTACCTTCTCCTCGTCCCGCATCCTGCAAACACCCCTATTTCTTTACCCTCGCTGACTAACAACCTATCTCGCACCCCAGCTACACAATTCTAAACTCTCGCATCGAAGTAATTCAGTCGCTTTTAACTCGGATATTGGAGCTGTGTCCAGCCGTGTGATACAAGCACTCTTCAATGCACCCTTAACCTACCCTGTGGCTTTACTATTCCTTGGGCCATTAATATATAAGAAGTTTCTGTTCACTCTACATTTAGAAAAATTATAGTTTACCATAGAATTGCAATTAAGTACACACGCAATTAAATATCGAATAAAAATCTAAGTAAACTTGGAAAATGAATGTGCCCGGGATAGCTTAGTAGGAAGGGCTCATTCCTCATTCATTGTTGTCCTTAGTAATACTTTTTCCAACTTCCCAATGGAAATTATCGACTGTCTTTCAAAATCATTATTGTAACAACGAAAATATTCCAACATATTTTATCGCAACCTAGATATATTCCAAAAACAACGTTAGCACTTCAATGAGTGTCGGATCATCAAACTCAGGGTTTTTTTATGATCATAAAAGTCAATGAAATCTGATATCGATATAGCGACAATGTTGTTTGAAGGAAACCCCTGAGCAGGCTGTCGGTGGCGCCGGGAGCACACAGTCGCGGTGACCCCGCTCGACACCTGGCTCGTAACAAAAGTTGTCTAGTGATGTTCTATCGACTATCACTTTACCGATATCGATGAACATGTTTATTGAACAATTTTTAAAATTACATTGTTCTAATATTTTTTTTGTAATGAAGAACAAAAAATTATAATTAATTAAGACATTTTTTACCTATACATGTATTTTATAATTTAGAATAATTTTGATATCTCTAATGTATTCAACCACATATACAAACATAATAATTAAAGAAATGAGTCATCAAAATTATAACATTTTGGAAAACTCATACACAACTTAATACAATCTATTTATTTTTGTAACTTAATAAACTATGTTTAGACAGTGGCTATACATAATATTTAAAACGATGTCTTTTGAAGTACCATATTTTATTAATTTATTTATATAAATGATTAACATAGTATAAATTATGTAAATAATTTATTGAAAGAAATGAAAAATCTTGAATGAATATCTTTACATAGTATAAATTTATTCTAGCCAGTATCCAGACACAGAGATGATAGTATTATATATAGTTAATGACTCATATAAAAGTTAATGATAGACTTTTTTATCTGGCATTATACAATGTCAACGCCACTGTCTATTCGTTTATATCTTTTAAATTACGCAACTACTTGTATTGCAGAAACAGATAGAGTCATTCAAGAGGAAGGTATATGTGTATAATAGTGAACAAGCCGAGAATTCAAAGATTTGTAATTCACCCCGTGTGTGAATAAAACACAATTATTTTGCAGTAAAAAAAAATATCTCCTATTTCTAAATAACTATTAAACATTTTCGTTCAGTTCAACACATTCCATCTATCGATAATGGCAATCAAGCAAACAACACTACTGGTATACCGCGCTGGGTGCGCCCCTATACCACGTCCTGCCTACCCCGCTACTTCGTTACGTCACCGTACATACTGATAATTACCTACTCACACCTACACTGCTGGCATGTTCGAGATAAACCCATGCTAATATCCAAACTGACATAGTATTGTATGTAAGTTAAAACGCATTTTAGGTAACATTATCGAATCGGTACTTCTTTAGAATAAGTATAAAAAAATCTTTACTACTATTATAAGTGGGAAAGTAACTCTGTCTATCTGTCTCGGTTTCACGTCAAAACTACTGAACCGATTTAAATAAAATTTGGTACTCAAATAGTCTCTAGCTGGACTGAGAAGGGACATAGGCTACTTTTTAATGCGAAAAAAGGGTTGTGTGTGTCAAATTAAAAACACTATACTGTGATAGTTTTAGATACGCCTACAATCTAATAATCAGTAGTTTTTGAGATACGTACATACAGACAGACGTAGTGAGGGAATTTGTTTTATAATATGAGTAATTCTCTCTTATGTATTAAGCATTGAGCAAGAGTGAGATTGAGTCGCAGTCTTTTAGTATGTTCGTGATAATCTCAAAAACTACTAAACGTATTTCCATACGGCTATCATCCATCAACAGTGTGTTTTCTAAAGGTTTAGATTAAAAAATCTTTAATCGTCATCATCATCATCATAGCCCGGAAGACGTCCACTGCTCAACAAAGGCCTCCCCCAAAGATCTCCACGACGGTCGGTCCTGCGCTGCTCGCATCCAATGCCTTCCAGCGCTCTTGACCAGATCATCTATCCCCCTTACTAGAGGCCTTCCCACACTGCGTCTTCCGGTCCGCGGTCGCCTCTCGAGAACTTTACTATCCCAACGGCCATCTGTCCTAAGAGCTATGTGCCCTCCCTGCCCATTGCCACTTCAGTTTTGCAATTCTTCGGGTTATGTCGGACACTCTGATTCTTCTGCGGATCTCCTCATTTCTGATTCGATCACGCATAGCCTCTCCATCGCCCTCTGAGTGACTTTGAGCTTATTCATAAGGTCTATAGTTAGCGACCACGTCTCTGTGCCGTATGGCATTAATCATTGATCGTGTAAAGTCGAAATGCCAGTATGAACCCGGGGCGGCTGGCTAGTGTAAAAAATCTATAATAAGAGTACCTATATAGATTTTAATTTATTCCATTATTCTTCTAAATGAAGATTATAAAAAACATAGATCTTTTTCAATTTTCAAATTTAAAACTCAATAAATACTTAATAATAAAAACACTTACCGGATATTAAAAAACTCTTTACATTTTACCAATAAAAAGCTACAATATCAACGAATAAAATACACTGTTTATGCATATATCGCCGCAGTATATAGCTTCTATAAAGTAGTGCCGCATGAAGTCAACATAAATTGGAAATAGCTTGCATTTTACAAGCTAAGATCTCTCTTAGCTTCTAAAATTCAAGCAAACCTAGTCCTCTCGGACTAGGTTAACCTATCGGCTATCGTAATCTAACAGATCGTGTACCTACTATCTAAAGGAGAAATCTAAAACCTCTTGCTCGTTCTTCTTGTGAAGAGACAGCTTTCCAAAGGAGCGGTAGATTTATAAAATTATTTATCAAAAGTGCTGAAATTTAGGTTTATTATCCTTACTTATAGTGATATATGAATTAGTAGTCCTTACAATATTATAATATGAAAGTCTTTGTCTGTCTGTTGCGCTTTCACGCCAAAACTACTGAACCGATTTAAATGAAATTTGGTACACAGACAGTCTAGACCCTGAGAAAGGACATAAGTTACTTTATAAGTGTATCTTGCAGTGGATACAAAGCTGTGGATTAACTAACTGCAATTAAGTCGATTTTTTTTTACTATCCGAAGATCGAGAAAGAGTTGAAAAGCATATCAAATTTATGGAGATACAAAAACCACTCATGTAGTGAGGGCAAGAAGATTTAAAATTCACTGACCCAATTTTAGGTTAGAAATTTATTATTACGACCTAACTGAAATATACATAAATATCTGTTTTATATTCTACAATACAATATTACAATGTATTATAAAATCTCTTATTCAGATTATCATTTTATTTAAAAAAAGGGACCATTTGCGTGGCACAGAAAAAAAACAATAGTCACCCCTTGCTATATCACCCTTCATTAACATAACATGTTTTTTATTGCGCGCCAGCTGCGCGCGCACGCGCGTGACGTCACGATATCGATCTCCGCTCGTAAAATCGATATTATCGAACGAACACCTGTGACTCGTGCCACGCACTATCTTCCTGGTGCGTTGACCTTTCTTCTTTTTATTTTTTTAAATTTAGTACTTACTTTTTACTTTTCAGTAAAACTAAATATCTAATGTACATAACCAAAAAAATAGTTTAGTAGGTAATCATACAATTTTTTTTTATTTAAATACCCGGTGCAAAATATCTAACTACCTAATGTTAAAGCTAAATATCTAAATCATCATTACATAGTACAAAACAGTCGCTGCCGCTGTCTGTCCCTATGTATGCTTAAATATTTAAAACTACGCAACGGATTTTGAAGCGGTTTTTTTAATAGATAGAGTGATTCTAGAGGAAGGTTTATGTATATATAATACATGTACACTCGTGCGAAGCCGGGGCGAGTAGCTAGTAATGTATAAAACTAGATAGGTACTAACGAACAAAAAAAAATCGTCCAATATTTTTTTATGTAACCGGGGCAAAATGTCTAAATATAATCTATACCTAATGTATATAATTAGATACTAACAAATAGTGTAAAAACAATCCGATTAAATAAAAAAATCAAAACCAAAAGATACCTACCTAGTACCATATATCATCTTCTGCTTCTTCTTTATCCCATTTATTTGTGGTCGGCGTATATGATGTTCTCTTCCATTCATCTCTGTTCGCAGTCATCTCGTCATTTACTCCCTTTCTTACCATATTATCTTTCACACAGTCCATCCATCTCTTTTTTGGCCTTCCTCTGTCCTTATAATCATCCACATTCATATGTAACACATCTTTCATATGTAACTCCTTAAAACCTAGTATAGTACTTACTTATATTTAACTTAAAGTATAATTTTAGCAAATAAATTAATATAAGTTATATTCATTCATTCATAATTTAAGAGCTGTGCTCTTGTCGGTGGAGCTCCCGCCACCTTCCACGATCTTCTATCAGTCCCTTTAGCTGTTGATACGACACGACTCCAGCTTTTTCTTTAACTTGCTTGATATAGCTGCGTCTTGGTCTTCCCCTTCCTCTCTTTCCATCTATTTTTCCTTCTATAATGTTGTTAATTAGTTCGTCGTGTCGTATCAAGTGCCCCAACATTTTTCCCCGTTATATATATATTAAAATTTCTATCTAAATGATTTACTTCCATTGTCAGTTATTCTTGTAAATTAAACATATCTTCTACCCGCCCCGT